TTTTTTTTTTTTTTGGGAGTGGCCAATTGAATTTACTTACTGACTAATGAGCTATTTAATATCAGTGTGTGTTTGCTTTTCGGTATTCGTCTGATATTTGGAGACTTGGAGTTGGGATTAATACGGGCATTAATTGATAACAAAAGTTGGACATGAGGGATTTAGGAGCTCGGCTTGTTAGATAAACGAACCAAAAATCGAGTTCGAGCTCGGCCGAGTCGAACTATAAAAAATTATATATTTTTTTTTCGAGTCTTAACAAGCCTTATCGGCTCGTTAAGGTCTCGAACCGAACTCTAGCCTTAACGAGCCAAGCTCGAGCCAGACTCGTTTTATTTAACAGTACTACTAAGTATTTGTCAATTTAAAAACCGATTGAAATTTGTCGAAATTGAGAGAATTGGGGGACATTACAATATGATCCTGATTGGAGAATAGCGCAGTTGGAGAAGGTGGAGGCAAAGGTCGTCAAAGAGAAATCAAAATCGAGGCCCTTGAGGACCTCGACGTTGTCGATGTTGGGAATTCCGACCACACCGAAACTCCGCCCAAGATCCACTGGAAATAATAAAACTGGAGAACACAAAGTTTAACGTGGAAAACCCTCTGTTAACGAAGAGGGAAAAACCACCAGGGCAACAAGGCCGTAGAAAATCCATTATGTAAAAATTACACAATTTTTCTATACTCACTTATACCCAATATTACCCCACAGAATTTTCTATCCGTTAACCTTAACTCTCACCCTAAGAGATTTTTAACCAGAGATTAATTGTTAACACAATAACTCTGTAGGATGATTTTACATAAGAAGTAGCATCTTCTTATATAGGGAAAAAATCCCCTCCTCTCTCATCCCACTTTTGATGTGGGACAAAAGAGCAAAAACTCAACAAACAGACAATCGACCTTGACTCGTTTTTATAGTTCTCCACCTTGCGATTTTGGCCCATCTGACAGCCACTATTCACTTTGATGAAATTTTTCATAGCTTTCGCTAGCATGCTCCACCATAAAAGCATATCCACTCGGGCTCGCATCCAAGCATTTCTTCGGCCCATGTCGAAATAACCTTGCTGAAATCTATGGTGCAACTTCCACGTTTGGCATTCCTAGAAGTTCATCAGCCCTCGACACGCTTTTTCCACCACACACCATGCATCACCGCCAAACCAATGCCCGTGTGTAAACTGTGGACCCGCTAATTGTAACACGTCGTCTTTCATGACACTTAGCGACATGCCATAAGGACTCCCCTTTCTCTCTTAGCAAAACTCATCCATGGAGAGAGAGACAAAATTAGCTTCTTCGGTATCTCCACTTACCGACTTCGAGCTTTTTGCCGAACCTTCTCCTCCTTTCAGAAATTTCTTTTCACGTGCCCAGATTGTCCACACGTCCAGCAAATCACAACTTGCTTCTTCCTGGAGTTCCTCTTCTTTCCGTCACCGACGAGCATGACTTGACCTTCCGGTGAATTGTTTCGTCCACCGTCTAGCCTTCTCTCTTCTGCAAGAAGTTTACCAGTGACTTCAGAAAATATAATTTTCTCCTTCCCATGAATCAAGATCGGGTTCATGTGTTCATAAGAAGTTGGAAGAGACCAGATGAGTCTCAACGCCTGATCCTCATCATCAATCTTCACTCCAATGGATTCCAACTCCGAGACGATCCCATTGAGAACGCTTAAGTGGTCTGAGATGCTTTGACCTTCAGTCATTCGCAGTGTGTGAAACTGCTCCTTCAGATACACCCGATTTGAGACGCCTTTAGCCTGATACAACTCCTCAAGCTTGTCCCATAATGCTTTTGCCGTCGAAATTTCATGCACATTAGCAAGAACATTCTTGGCCAAACACAGTCGTATCGCGCTTGCCGCTCTCAAATCCAGTTCCTCCCAATCTTCATCGCTCATTCCAGATTTGCTCGCACCAGCTTTTTCTTCAGTGCTGCTGGTAGCACTACCTTTGAGAATTTTCGAGCCCTTCAAAGCTTTGTGTAACCCCGACTGAATCAGCACGTCCTTCACTTGCACTTGCCACAAGCCAAAATTGATTTTTCCGTCGAATTTCTCCACATCAAATCTCGCCAGATTCGATATCTTATTTCCAGACATCTTCGTGAATCAGTGAACACTAACTTCGCAGAAAACCGAGCAGCAACCTTTAATAGTACTGACAGATAAATTCTCAGGGAGGGTAGCGACCTGCCCCCTAAAGAATTACCCTTCTAAGTAAGCTCCCAGGAAGGCTGGTGGGGTCACAACGGTCCCACTTAAAAAACCAGTCTCCTAGACAGAACCTACTTACACAGTAATTATTCCCCACTGCCCAAAGAACTCCTCTGCACACAAGCTCCACCCGTCACTGGCTCCACCGCACGAACAAACCTCTTTGGTATCTTTTCTGATGTGGAAGATCAGACAAAACTGCAACCACAGAGCATACTCAGAATACCAACTAAGCTAACCTCGCTCTTGATACCACTTGTTTGGAATTCCGACCACACCGAAACTCCGCCCAAGATCCACTGGAAATAATAAAACTGGAGAACACAAAGTTTAACGTGGAAAACCCTCTGTTAACGAAGAGGGAAAAACCACCAGGGCAACAAGGCCATAGAAAATCCACTATGTAAAAATTACACAATTTTTCTACACTCACTTATACCCAATATTACCCGACAAAATTTTCTATCCGTTAACTTTAACTCTCACCCTAAGGGATTTTTAACCAGAGATTAATTGTTAACACAATAACTCTGTGGGATGATTTTACATAAGAAGTAGCACCTTCTTATATAGGGGAAAAATCCCTTCCTCTCTCATCCCACTTTCAATGTGGGACAAAAGAGCAAAAACTCAACAGTCGACACATTGTTGGCATTCGGGCCATGACTACTGATCAAGAGAGGTCCTTGGAGGCGGTCGATCGACGGCGAGCTCTCGTGAGTCGGTCATTAGTTCAGTTTCGTTTTATAAAATGGAGATTCTTATTGTTAACCGTTTTGACCATGCGTAATTGAATTTATATTGACAACTGTGCAAAAATTAGACAAATCTATTTTATTGACAACTAGGAAAAATTAGACCAACTCATTGATGATGCTAGAATTGGTACACATTCATTTTTAGTTCCGAAGGTAAAACCAAGTTTTACTTTTACATGTTTATTATAACTTATGCAAATACATTAATATTAAAAAGAATCATTGTTACCAAATGCTTTTTTTTTCAAAATTGTGTACATTTTCATCTGTAAAATTGTGTTTGATTTATTTTCAGTATAAAAAACACAAACTACTATCACACCGTTAACTAAATTTATATTTTAGGTGTTCATTCATATATATTTTAGGAACTCAATAAAACTCATTATTGTTATTTTAAAACTGCAATCCATCTAAGGATGGCAAAACGACCTGGACCCAGCTTTATCTGGCCCGACCCGGAACGTTTGGGGCAGGTCCGGTCTGCCCCGTTTGTAAAACTGGTCGGGATAGGTCCGACCCATTAGAAAAACGGGCCAGGTCTGGGTCCTTTCCATTGTCCCGCCCCGCCCTGGCCCGACCCGGTCCCGCCCCATTTTTTTAAATATATATATGAAGTTTCATAGCAAAATCCTTGGCCCAATTTCCACTAAGCAGCCCAAAATCCTCATGTGATGGCTGTTGCGTGAATTTTCAAATAATTCCCAATTAATTGGGTTCTCTTGCCCACAAAAACTCATATATCCTCCAAACTCACGTGAGTAACCCAAAGATATATTGAAAAATTGGATCCTGCAGGTGGGGCAGTGCAGTCATGCTCCAACCACTCTTGATTTCACACACACCCATATAGGTGTGTGTGTGTTTGTGTGTAAATCAAGGACCTCTAGGGGCTGACTGCAGTGCTCCTAGGGGCAGGATCTATATGCCTCCAGGACGACGTGGGGATAACTGGTTGCTGGTGGAGAGATAAGGTTTTGCTGAAGCCAGAGAGGTCAGGGGTTCGATCATGATTATCGTGAGAGTAGAGATGGGGCACTTGTATTCTCCATTAGTCCCACTCCTTTGGGTGTGGAGCCCCTAACCCGTTAAGGGCCATAAACCGGTTAGGCATCACCAACACGGTGAGCTCGGAATGGCTTGGGAGTGCATGGTGAAACCTCGGATTAATGTAGGGATACACACGACAAAAAAAAAAGAAAGAAGATATATATATATACTAGATTGGACCCGGCTGTGCACGCACAGCCGGCCCTAGTCCAATCTATAATTATATCTAGTATTTGTAAAATTTTTAAAACACACTTACCTACATTTTATGTAGCAACCAAAATGCCACATATTTTTTTTTTGTTTAAAATGTTTTTTACAAATATGTCATTCCTATTTTCTTCCTAGGGCCGACACGTGTTTTTTTTTCTTGGCAGTTGGAGAAGTTATTTTTTCACAAAGAAAATAGGAAGGGCATATTTGTCCAGAAAGGACACGTGCCAGCCCTAGTTCAATTTATAATTATATCTAGTATTTATAAAATTTTTAAAACAAACTTATCCACATTTTATGGAGCAACCAAAATGCCACTATTTATTTTCAATTAAATTTTCCACATATTTTTTACAACAAAATATTTATATTTATTAAATTAGTATTTTTATCGCATCAACTTTAATTATTATATTTTATTTTTTGTTTGTTCAAAATGTTTTTCACAAATATTTTTTTTTCAACAATTTTTTTGCCACTCTTTTGACTCATTTGTTTGTAGCATTTAAACAAATTTCTCAAAATAATTTATATTCTAAACCATTCTCTTTCCTCAGTTTATTTCAAGGACGACCAATGCCGAGTAACGGTGGCATCAGTCAAATCAATCCTTTTCTTTTCTTCAGCAGCTCTTTGTTTCTCCGGCTTGGATTTCTTCTATGCAATTTCAATTCTAGAGTTCCCTGATGCAGATTCGATTTCACATACTCATCATCAAGCAATTCATGTCATATGCAGCTCATTAAAATAAAACAATACGCAGATTCGACTTCACATACTCATCACCAACCTGAACCTGTTGCATTTAAATAGAGATGTAATAAGGAAAACCAAGATACAGGACAAACTTGTTATAAGATATCCAGCATTGAACCAATTGAAACATTTATGAGCAGTTTGGAAATTTTCTTATTAGGATAATAATTTCTACGTCTACTTTTAAACAATGTACCGCGACAGCAGACAAATGGAACACGTAATTCTTCCTTTACTTTTTACCATGTAATAAAACATTTTCCCGAAACTACAGGAATAAATAGGCACAAGTGCAAATGGAACACATAATTCTCCCTTTACTTTAACTCATGTAATAAAACATTTTCTCGCAAACTACACGAACAAAAAGTCACTGAGTAACACATATAAGAATCATCCCATCAAGCCAGCGAATCATGGATGCATATATGTGAATGTTTCCATATTCAAGTGTAGATATATGCTTAAACCCCAAGTGAAAAACACACAAAACCCCATCACCTCATAGCAGACACTACGCCAAATGATAACTAAAAATCCATTTTTTAATACCTAAACCAACTATTTGGATCATATTTAAATGCCAAAACCCATCGGCACCCAACAGCAGCAAATCCCAAATCTCAAACACGCTGAAAAAGAACATAATAATAGCAATAATATGCACACTATTAATCGACAGAAGTACAGAAAGCCTTAAAACACTATTAAAAGAAATACAAACCCTTTCAGGAAGCCTTAAAACACGTATGTAGATACATACGTGTCTACATGCGTTCCTTGAGATTCTTCGCCAGGTGTAAAAGCATCGTTTAAAGCACTCATCAGCCTTTCAGGATTTTCAATCGTGAGCAAATACTTGAGTATCCTGACATCTTTCGGCACACGCATCTGGGTATTACGTATCGCCGTTGTATACAAATAATACATTGTATCTTGCGCCTGCAACACCAAAAAA